TGGTTAGGTACCCTAAATATTAGTTGCCATATTATAATAGGGCTCCAAAGGTGGACCATAATTTTGACAACCACCCAGATGATAGTTATAAGTAGTTAAAGGCAGTCCCAGGCCGTAATTTTCGGGGGGTTGGAGTCACCAAAGCTGAGCCCTGAACCCTAAACCCGATTAGAAGGTAGTAGTTTCCATTTTCTTTTCCATTATCCCGAAGAAAGCCCAATTCAATATGCACCCCACCCCACGACCACCCCACCCACCCCCCCCTCCCTCCCCCCCAAAAAAACAACAACACACAGCACAACTACATGGTTGGGTGTTGGACAGGTTTGTGAGATGATCTAGGCTCGGAGCTGTGAGGACATCATGTCAAGTGTACGTGTGTAGCAATTGACTAGCAACATGCCATGGGGCTTGAGGGCTTGGGACTAGAGATGAGGCGGTGAGTCACCCCAAGCATGTGAAGTTAAACATACGCACTCCTCGTAATCTAGGCGATGCTCCACAGTATAGATGAGCTTTGTGGGTGCAGATGGAAGGTTCTTGCAAGTTGGGAAGGTTTCAAAAGATGAGACGAAGTGATGTTTTCCCGTGCGCTTTGCTGCCCAGACCACTGTTCCAAGTTTATTCTATGTTCGTCTGGGTTTGCTCTACAACCCTAAACCCTAAACTCCTAAAACCCTTAACCCCTAAACCCTAAACCCATGGTTCTACAGGGGCTGCAGGCTTGAATTAAGCTAATGGGCCAGCAAAAGCAAAGGCGAACCCTTCAAAACCTCAACTTGGCGTCTGTATTTCAGAACATGTCCTTGAGCCTCTAGTCAGTAGGCTTCCCAGTAACCCCTATAAGATTTAGGTTTTAGGGTTTAGGGTTTAGGGTTTTAGGGTTTAGGGTTTAGGGTTTAGGATTCAGGGTTTAGTGTTTAGGGTTCAGGAGTTAGGGTTTAGTGTTTAGCGTTTAGTTTAGACATGGTACTATAGCAAACAGCCTTAGACCCCCTACATGGCCTGGGCAAAGCATAACGACCTCACCCTGCCGCGCCCAAAATGGTGGTTCATATTGAGCTACTGTCAATATTCGCCTTATTGAGGGACCCTTGAAAGCCCTAAACTTTAAACCCTAAACCCTAAACCATAAACCGCGGGGCTCCCTCCTATAGTTTAGCATGGTCCCTAGAATAGTCCCTAATAAGGAGCCCATGTCCACTTTTTTTGTTGAGGAAATTTTGACTGTCACTCAGATGGAAGATTGTCAATTTAGGACTTTGGAAGTCTTCCTTTTTGGCCAGGTAATCTGGATTCTGCCCCCATCCGATAGCAGTTTAATGCACAACTGCATTACATGTTCATACATCAACTAATATTAACCTTATTGCAGACAGTTATTGGATTGGGGCCATACCTTACAGACAACCCTGCGCAAGCCCTAAACCCTAAAACCCTAAACCCGAAAACCCTAAGCTCTAGAACCCTGAACCCTAAAACCCTAGAAGCCCTGAACCCTAAAACCCTAAACCCCAAAGCCCAAGATCCTAAAACCTCAACCCCCTAGAACCCTAAAACCCTAAAAACCCTAAACCCTAAACACCTGAAAGCCCTACACCCTAAAACCCTGCGCCCTAAAACCATGAACCATAAAACCCTGATGCCTAAAACCCTAAACCCTGCAACCTTATGTCGAGGCACTCCTGAAGCAACGGACTGCCTACGAGCTGGCGCTGCCACAGGAGTCGGACGAGGAGGAGGATTCGGACACGTCACCAACAGGCCAGCATAAGGGTTTAAGGTTTCGGGTTATGGGCCTTCTCTGCATTATATTGGGTAATTCTCCCTCTCAGTCAATGTCCTTTAAGTCGTTTCATTAAGGGGCATGGGCATTCTATGGATTTTATTGGGTCATTGGCCCTTAACTATAGGAACTGTCCACATGGGGGTTTTATTAAGAGGCTATTAGAACTCCTAGTACTTCTTGTGGTAACAGTTACTGTAAGGGGGAATAACCTAAGGATTACAGTAGATGCAGAGTAAGTTTTCATCGTTTTAATGTCTGGGTGTTGGGGCGCAGGGGGTGGGATTTAGGGCTTGGTGTTTGCAGGAATCAGGGCGCAAAGGCAATGAATCAAGAGCTAGATCTATAGCTATGGATTGGGGTTTTCTGGATTTGTTTGGGTCTTGTGGGAAGGTTCAGATTGGCTTTAGGTCTAGTTTCAAGAAGGTTGAGTCATACAAGAAGACTAGGATTTTGTGTTGGGGCTTCATGGGTTAGTATTACTACCGGCATGGTTGTAGGTATTTCCGAGTGGTCATGTGCAATCTTAGGGTCTAAATAAAGTGCGGGTGGGGGCGGGGGGGGGGGGNNGGTCCCCAAAAAATAGTGTACAGGTGTGTTTATGTTTTGTGTGTGTGCCCTACTGGAAAGCTGGAGATCTCAGAGTGCGGTGTGGATTTGAATGTTGCTTCTGCCGAAGGCCGTCCTAGGANNTAACCCAGGCCACTGATTAATAAACCACCTCTCCTTAATAGGTGTTATAATAGGGATCCTACTATTAAGGCCCTTAAAAGGAGGAGGTGTTATTAAGCAGGCGTCTACATTACAGCCTTCCTAAAGGTTTCGGCGCCGCATGCCTACATAGTAAGCCAATGGGGCCCAAATTATCAAGCCTTTCCCTGAGGGTCCAAGTACCAGATGATTGGGCACTCGGGTTTTGGGTAGTAGAAATGTTAGTATAAGTTTTGGGGGAGTATATGATTGTCAGGTGCTTCGACCCTGAGGGTTTAGCTACCTTGACCCCCTTCAACTTCAGACCGAAACTTTACATCTGGTTTTCCTAAGACCGAAATCCAGAGTTCAGCTTTTCAAGGAGGGGAATTATGGGTGGATTATTGGGGTCCTTATTTGGGAGGTCCGTTTGAGAAATAGCCAGATTATGTTGAAGTATGTTGGGGTGCTGACTGATGAGATCCTCGGCTTGCAAGCACCTTCCTCAAGATAAATATTCCCCAACCCTGAAACCCCGAAACCCTAAACCCCTAAAGTCTAAACCTGAAAGCGTTCCACGTAGATTTCTTTTGCCATCCCTGAGCCAAACCAACGACGAGCAAAGGCAAACTTGGGTATATAATTCCCCCTCTCAGTAACTGTCCTTAAACGGGGGTTTAGTGTTTAGGGTTAGGGTTTTTACTAAGGGGCGATTATAACTCCTATTACGTCTTGTGGTAACTGTTACTCCGAGGGGGAACCTAAACCCTTTAACCCCTAAACCC